TCAAAGCTCTGGGATTACAGGCATGAACCACCATGCCCAGCCAGCACAGGTTTTAAAATTTCCCTTTATTGTGGGGAACTTTTTCTCATCCAGACATCTAATCAGTGAGAATTTTATCAGTTGCTTTCTAGAACATGAACAATGTGTTTTGTAGTCCCCTTGTATGAGGGAAGCAAGTCTTCAGTTCTAAGTCCTCACCTTTCACAGGCCCAAGTTTAAGTCCTTTATTCTGTATGTGTGTTAAAGCCTAACCCATAGCTGTTAGGTCCTATAGCCATGTCTAATATCCTCTGCACTGTTCTGGCATCAGCTCATGCACTTACCACATTGACTATAAGATTCTTCCTTATCTGTGGCACATGGACATTTCCTCTGTTTTTTTTTTTTTTTTTTTTTCTTTCTGTTTACCTGTCTGTCTCTGTTTCGGCTATGTATGCAAAATAGCTTTGTTTTATCAGTATGCTAAGTAGGTGGAGCTAGAAAGCTGTGTCAGTCAGGTTTGTAGACTACTGACTGTGCAATAGAAATACATGACCTTTGGAACTGAAACCTGAGACTGAGCTGTGACTTCACCACTTACAGTCTGAGTAAGCAGTGCCTAGTCATTTAACCTCTCTAAGCTATATTTTTCTCATGAATAAAATATAGATAATGTTAGTACTGATCTTCATTACATGGTTTTTCTTATTGCTCTAAATTCACTTTTATTTAAATTCAAACCATTTTCTCCATCCCAATTCCTAGAAAAGCTAGAGAAGATCGCAATTTTCTTACATATCTTATTCAATATTTTCCCTTATTAAACAAATGTTATGAAGGAATAAAGCAGTTATTGATTGAATGATCTTATTACCTTTCCTCAATGTACTTTTCAGATACCAATGGATTGAGGAAAGTTCTGATAGAAAAGAGACCTAAAATAGGAAAGAAATGATAAATTCCATTTCTTGGTAGATATGCAAGGATGAGGTTGGGGCGGAGTTACATCTCTGTGAGTTTCACCCCTCACAGTTTTCATCTCTTTTTCTCTCCCTGCAGAGTGCAAATGAGTGAAACCTTATATTGGTTTAGACATTCTGCTTGGATACATGTTTAAGAGCCAATAAATCTGTCAGAGTAGATTTCAGGCTGAGCCAAGGTGAATGGCCTCACAGTAATTCTGCCAGAGCCTCAGGGTACCAGGCAACATAAGCAGAGAGGTCACCAAATGCCTGCTCACCCCATGCCCAGGAACAGAGATATTCCACATAGGAAATATGAGGACCTTTCCCAAAACGATGTGTTTGGCATGTGGTAAAATTCTTTGTCAAACAGCAGAACAGTCCAATAAAAAAAAAAAAAAGAGCAAAAAAATGAAGGCACATAGAAATAACAGGTCCTCTTAGTGATTCTGGTGGTTTGTAAACTCCACGTGAAAGTGATTATTCATTGCAGAATACAATGTGGAGGTGTACACACCAAAAAGCTATCCACTTTTACCCCATAGACAGACTTACACAAAAACACTAGGTCGTCCATGGAGTTTAATTTTTTTGTTTTCACTTTCTGCAGCTTGTTTCTAATAATGAAGACCTATAGGTACTGATCTATGGGGATCCCAAAAATTAAAAAGCCAGTTCGACCAATTATTCCACAGTGCACCTTATAGGCAACAAGCCAAGTTCTAGTGCATAGAACTTCCTATTGGCATTTTTAAAATATCTAACTTTTAAAATATGAAAAGATAGCCAAGAATTATCTGACATTTCCAGAAAGCCTCCAGCATAAAAGATAAAGATATCAAAGCAGAAGAAAGGAAACTCAAAAGAAACAGACAAGATACTAAAGAAGAAAACTTTAATCAAACTATGTTTAATGACCTCAGAGGTATAAGATAAGCTATTTATCCTTAAAGTCAGGATGCTAGTAAGAAAAAAAGAGAAATAAATGAAGGTTATTGTTTAAAAAATAAAACGTTTTTTAGAAATTTAAATATGATAACTAAAATTATGTGTGCATGTGAGTGTAAGATTTGGAAAATAAAGGTAAGGAAATATCTCAAAATATTAAGAAAAAAATAGAAGACAAATCAGAAGAAACTAAAAGCCCAGTGCAGCAGGCCCAACATCCTACCAATAGGATCTAGAAAAAAATATATCAAGAGAAAGATTATGGGAAAATTTTTTGGACCTGAAGAACATGAGTCCCCAGATTGAAAAGGCCCATTCAGCATCTAGCACAATAAATGCAAAAAGACCCAGCTGTGTCATAAAACTTCAGTACACCAGGAAGACAGTAAAACTTTCAAGAAAGGAAACAATAGGTCACAAACACAAGACCAAGAATAAAATGGCAGTAAATACTCAGTACTAGCAAGGAAAAATACAAATGTTTTCCGACATTTAAGATTTAAGAAATCTTCACCCACGCACCTTTTCTCAAGAAGTCTTCTAAAAGATGAGCTTCATCTAATGCAAGAAAGACAAAACAATATCCAGAAAATAAGGAATCAACACAGGAGGAAGACAAAAGAAATTCCCTGGACAATAATGAAAATAAGTCTTAATATGATAACCATACATAGGTTTAGAAAACAAGCAATACAGATGCAACAAGGGTCCAGAGACATATGGAGGAAGAGCTCCATTTAAAAAAAAAAAATTCAACTAATTGGATTAGGTGGTACAGCTGCTAATGTAGGTAGTTATACATCGAGATACTGTATGTCTTGTGCTTTGGAACATGAGTGCAGGAGTCAGACTGCCAGGGTTCAAGTCCTGGCTCTGCCACTTCCCATCTTATGTGAGCCAATTAATTTCTCTGTGCTTCATGCTTCCCATCTGTAAAACACAGATTATAGTTACCTGCCTTATAGAGTTATAAAAAAATTAAATGCGGCACTGATACTGTGATGAAAACAATGTCTTGAATATTGCCAGATGTTAGGGGAAGCAAAGACAGTAACACAGACAGAGAAAACTAAGGCATTTTTTAAATGAGTGAATTATCAGCTCTAGAAAAAATGATAATAGAACAAGAAAGGAGTTATAATGATAGTATGCTCCTTGGCTCAGCAGAAAATATTTCCATTGTCAGAATAATGCAAATCTTGAAAACTGCGATGTAATAAACTGCAAGGATAAAGGAAGGAAAAAGGGACTTAAGGGAGAAATCGTTATCTACCATAATAGAAGTGTGTAGAGGTAGTATTCTATTTAGAATATGGAATTAGATATTAAAATAAATAACTACACACATTTGAAGTAATCCTCAAGGAACAGGACTTGGTTAACTATGGCATTTGGTTAGCATAAATAAATAAAGAAGGAGGCAAGGAAGGAAGGATACAGGAGAACCGGCGAGGCTGCAGTGATTCTGGAGCACCAAATTCTAAGAGAAGCCTCAAGATTGCAGGTCATGGTGGAAGTGCCCAGCATGGAGTCCATACTGCTAGGAAGTATTCCCAGGAAGGGAAGAACCTGCTATTCCATGAACCCATAACATGGGTCTCCATTACCCTGAAAGGGTTTTTCCTGTCTGGAAAAGGAACCTGCAGAGATAAACTAATTATGAAGGAGGGAAAACGTTTTGTTTTTACCTCTTCTACCTAGAACATGAGTTAAGTTTGACTTGACACTACAATCACCCTTTAAAAAAAAAAAAAAAGAAAGAAAGAATACATTTTGGTTTGAAATAGTATTTCCTAAAACAGCAAGTCACAATGCTAAAAATTGACATTTGAACGCAGGTAACTGACATATAAATAAACGGATAAATATCACTGTTGTGCTCTGAAATTAAATGAATAAAAAAAGGATTCTGCCAAATAATCATAAAAAGATGAAGAGAAGGCATGTAGGTTGCCTGCATGAGGATAACACTTCAGTGAGGCCTGAATTTGTCTGAGCTCCACACGATGTTTCAAAGCCATGGCAAGCTGTGAACAGCCTGAGGGTTGTGAACATCCAGGTGTCATGACACTTTTCTCCATAAGTGACCCATCACCATGTGCGCCTCTGTCCTTGCAAAGGACCTGTTGAGGTCCTCAGCACTCACACTGTCTTTAAGGGCTGCACAAAAACCACAAGACGAACCAGCATGGAGGAAAACAACTTACTAGGCATTTTCCTGTCTGGGGTACAGATGTGTTTGGATTTCAGTGAAGGAGTTGAAACTTCAGCAGCTGAGCTAGAGACAGCTGTTCCAGAAACCCAGAGGGAGACCTAAAGGTCTTGTTTTGTGTTGTATCTTGGCAACACTCCTTGCTATTGCCGACCCGTAGCAAAGGGCCAGTCCTTTGTGATAGGCCTTGAGAGGCGATCATATTTCCAGCCGTGTGAAGAAGAAACAGTGTGACACAGTCACAGGAACTCCTTGCTTGGGTCACAGAAACACCAAGACACCACCTAAGCATGAAATCTCACACAAAATATAAGCAAGTTGATAGTATATGACAGCTATGGGAAGTGATGATTTTGTCAGAAGCAAAATAAATGCAGATGAATTTTTTTTTTAACATGTAAAATTCTGAGCCAAATGGCTTTGGATTTATAATTCCCAGGGATTTTGGTGCTTTCAATCATGAGCAGGAACATGAAGTTTGAGGGGGCGGGGTTAAATCCTTTAAGTATTTCTCTATAAAACCAATTCATGCTAGCTTTTCTGTCCTAAAAAAGTATTTCAGTTTACTTTCTTACTTTTTCCCCTAGGTTAGAGCAATGTTTTTTTGTTTCTTTGTTTCTTTGTTTGTTTTTTTAAAAAAAGCAGGGGCAGGGGAAGGGGAGAGATTGAGGAAGGGAACAAATATTTATGAAGTTCCCATCCTGTGTGGGCATCGTGGGAGAAACTTCGCCCACATAATCATAAAAATTCTCACAATTCTAAGCCAGGAATTATTATTATGATACCCATTTTAAACATCAAGAAACTGAAACTCACTGTAAAACATGTTTAAAATCACAAGGCTAATGTGCAGCAGAGCTGAGATTAAAATGAGGTCTGTTTGAATATTAAATCTATACCTTTTCCCCATATCTGCATCCCAGTGTTCATTGCAGCTTTATTCACAGCAGCCAAGAGATGAAACCAACCTAAATGTCCATCTGTGGATGAATCAACAAAGAAAACATGTTCTATATACACAACATAACACTATTCAGCCTTAAAATAAAAGGAAATTTTGTCATTTGGAACAACATGCACAAAACTCGAGGACATTATATTAAGTGAAATAAACCAGGCACAGAAAGACAAGGCACAATCTCACCTATGTGTGGAATCTAAAAAATTGAAACCCCTAAAAGCAAAGAGTAGGATGGTGGGCACTGGGGACTGAGCGAAGGGTGAGTGGGGAGATATTGATCAAAGGTTATACAATTTTAGTTAGACAGGAGGAATAAGTTCAAGAAATCTATTGAATAACATGGTGACTACTGCTAATAACAATTTATTGTATACTTGAAAAGGGCTGAGAGTAGATGCTAAATGTTCTCACCACATACACAAAAGTATGTGAGACAATGCATATGTTAATTAGCTTAATTCACCCATTCCACAGCTTACACATATTTCAAAACATCATGTTATGCATTGTAAATGTATGTGATTTTAACATAAATATACACACATACTAAAAATTAATAATTATTACTAAAAGAGGTATAAATAAATGAAGAAAGAAAGAAAAAGAACTATGCTGTTTCCTTTTGACCATGTTTCTTCTCATAAATGTCAAACACAGACCTTTGCTTTCTCTTACGCAGTAAGGCAGCGCTGTCCCTAACAGAGGTAATACATTCCTTTTATTCATGTAAGCCATATAGGACAGTCCATAAATTAAAACTGTGAGAGTAAATGTGCTTATCTCTAGTTTATCAATTAAGTTTCCTGCTGTGACACATTTCTCTCTTTTGCCAAGTATTCTAAAATCTTCCTTATTCATTGCTTCCCATCTTGCCCAAGTAAAATTGGCAAGCACTGTTATCCTCATTTAATAACATAAGTTACCCAGGGAATAGCCTGGATTAGAAGCTATGATGCCCAGAGCTTATGGATAAGCACTCTGGATCTTCTATCTGGACTCAGTGAAGAATTCAGAGGTCTATTTGGTAGAAATTCAGCTAAGAGTCTGGCAGATTTGATTATTTCAGAGCTGTGGTTTCCAGGACACACTGCCTCTGCCTGTTTTCCTCCTCTGATTGCTTTTTAGACGGAATCTTCTTATTCCCCTAACCTTTTAGATTTGGTATAACATACAGTTCTGGTCCTAGACTTCTCCCTGATTATTCTCTTTATTCATTTAGCCAAAACGTATTTGAGCTTCTACTACATGTACATGTCAACTGCCTTTTGACTTTACAGGCCTACTTCAGCCCCTACTGTGGTTCTACCTCCTGCTAAATGACAAGCTCTTCCTTCACTGTCCCTCAACCCTAAGCGTGATAGCAGCTTCTAGCTGGTACTAATCGCTGGGCTACTCCCTGCTCCTTGCAGGGCTTTCCAGCTTCTCTACCACCCTTTTAACCAAGTATCCGCATTAAATCTAATCTGTTTGAAAGACCTAGGAGGCTATTTTCCTGGCTGGATCCTGATGGGCACAAACAGAGAGTGTTCTTAGTTACAAGCTACAGAAACAAACTTTGGCATTTTGGCAGAAAAGAAATATAAAGATACTGAAGAGCTCAAAGAATCTCTAAGAGGATCAAAGAACCAGGCTGGGAGACCACAAGGGAAAGAGCAGTGTTCAAACATCTCAAAGTAGAACTGTTCTGGCAAAGCCACCATTAGTGCTATGCTCCATGTCTTCAGTTGCACCACGTCACCAACACTGGATTCGGGAAGCCTCCTGGTTCAGACATGTGAAAAGGCAAGTACAATACAATGGGCAAGAGCAACAGAGACAATACAGGGAGCTAGAGCTATACTTCTGGCCTCCAAGACCCAGGAGGATGGGGTCAGCATCCTACTCATTTTTCAATCCCATTGCCTAGAGTAGTACATATTCAATACATGTTTTCTGACCCTATGCTGAATTGTCAGGCACATTCCTGATGCATTATATTCATTGTCTCTGTTTCTTACTATTACCCAATAAGGAAAGTGTGCCCCTATTTTACAGTGGAGGAAGTTAAGGCACTCTTAATTCCTCCTAACTGCCTCACTACTAATATGCTTCACATCTCAGTTTTGATGTAATCTCTCCAAAAGGCCTGCCTGTACCATGTGCCCCCATCTCCAAGCTGAGATTATCTTTATCACAGAACTTATCCTCTGTTTTGTAATTGGCAACTCATTCTCATGAATTTTCATGAGCAGAGCTCTTTAAGAGCAGGAACTGTGTCTGTGTTGTTTAGCAATGTATACTCAGCATCTAGGCTTGTGCTGGCACATTTCATTTGCACCAATCATTTTTTGAATGACTTGAATAAGTGACTAAGGCCCAGAGACATTAAGTAACATGACCAGTCACAAAGCTAAGAGGTGACACAACTGAGGTTTGAACTATAGTCTGTCTGACCCCTAAATCTCTCCTACATTTTGCTGAGGGGTAAGCAACTTAATCCATTTATAGCAACCAGAAAATTAAGTTGGATTAAATGCTTGTATTTTAAGGTCAAAAGTAATGGGTAGGGAGTCTAAGAACTTCTCATAGTCATCGGGTTGAGGAATTAGCAAACAGAACCCTGGACCCAAAGCTAGAAGAAGGTTCCTAGAGGACAATACTCCCTATCTAGACTTTGCCTGGGCTGGACAACATTTAAAACTCTCCCTTAATTTAACATTTTAAGATTCTAAGGTTTTTAACCGAATCTCTAGGTAAAAGGAAAATTGTTCCCTCTAGCATCAATAACTAATCGACCTCATCAGCTTACTAAAATAACTTTAAAATATTAGAGATAATTGTAAGGCATCTGATATGGTTTTTTATGCTCCTTTAGACATTGCAGAAAAGTCTTCTCAAACTCACACTTGTCAGACATACACAGAGTCACATTCAAAATAAAGAGGATGGGGGAGATAATGGTTTGGAAATCAAAGGAATTCTTTTCCTGCCTTATTTATCCAGACAACGTTCCCACTCCCTCATTTTTGCCAAGTTAATGAGAGCCATCCATCCTCTAAGCATGCACTTTCCACAGACCCTAAATTCTAAAATGGCCATGAAGTAACATAGATTCCATAACAGCCTTTTGGTACTGGGGGTGGGGATGGGAGGCCGAGGTAGGGAAGTGAGAGATGAAACAGACAGGAAACACTCAATGACATGTTCACTGAAATTACAATGCACACATCCTGATTTTGGAATGCTAACATGAAGCACTAAGAGAGCCTTAGAATTGAAAAAAACATGCTAATTAAACAGAAAATTATTAAATGATATTTATAAAATGCCTACATATTTTGTCCAGATGATATTTCCAGACATAACTAAAAAATAGTGGGAACAACAAAAGGAAGTTTCACATAAATTACATGTCTTGTAATTACTTAAAAGTAATTACATTACTTTTAAAATGCATTTTAAAAGTTCCTTGTTTCAGCTTTCTACTTATGGCTAGCCAATTTTCCCAGCACCATTTATTAAATAGGGAATCCTTTCCCCATTTTTTGTTTTTGTCAGGTTTGTCAGGATCCTTTCCTTACTCCTTATATGAAAATTAATTCAAGATGGATTAGAGACTTAAATGTTAGACCTAATACCATAAAAACCCTAGAAGAAAACATAGGTAATACCATTCAGGACATAGGCATGGGCAAGGACTTCATGTCTAAAACACCAAAAGCAACGGCAACAAAAGCCAAAATTGACAAATGGAATCTAATTAAACTAAAGAGCTTCTGCAGAGCAAAAGAAACTACCAACAGAGTGAACAGGCAACCTACAGAATGGGAGAAAATTTTTGCAATCTACTCATCTGATGAAGGGCTAATACCCAGAACCTATAAAGAACTCAAACAAATTTACAAGAAAAAAACAAACAACCCCATCAAAAAGTGGGCAAAGGATATGAACAGACACTTCTCAAAAGAAGACATTCATACAGCCAACAGACACATGAAAAAATGCTCATCATCACTCGCCATCAGAGAAATGCGAATCAAAACCACAATGGATACCACAAAACCACGATGGTATCCACAATGAGATACCATCTCACACCAGTTAGAATGGCAGTCATTACAAAATCAGGAAACAACAGGTGCTGGAGAGGATGTGGAGAAATAGGAACACTTTTTCACTGTTGGTGGGACTGTAAACTAGTTCAACCATTGTGGAAAACAGTGTGGCGATTCCTCAAGGATCTAGAACTAGAAATATCACTTGATAGCCATCGCATTACTGGGGATATACCCAAAGGATTAGAAATCACGCTGCTATAAAGACACATGCACACGTATGTTTATTGCATCACTATTCACAATAGCAAATACTTGGAATCAACCCAAATGTCCATCAGTGACAGACTGGATTAAGAAAATGTGACACATATACACCATGGAATACTATGCAGCCATAAAAAAGGATGAGTTCGTGCCCTTTGTAGGGACATGGATGCAGCTGGAAACCATCATTCTCAGCAAACTATCGTAAGAACAGAAAACCAAATACCGCATGTTCTCACTCACAGGTGGGAATTGAACAATGAGATCACTTGGACACAGGAAGTGGAATATCACACACTGGGTCCTATTGTGGGGAGTGGGGAGGGGGAAGGATAGCATTAGGAGATATACCTAATGTGAATGATGAGTTAATGGGTGCAGCACACCAACATGGCTCATGTATACATATGTAACAAACCTGCACATTGTGCACATGTACCCTAGGACTTAAAGTATAATAAAAAATAAATAAATAAATAAATAAAAGTTCCTTGAAGTGTTTAAGGTATTCAGATTTGTTTCTGAAACTAGCAAATTGAAAAATTACCAGACCAATCAATACATATATACATATATAATAATGTGGGTGCTCGGATAATCAGTGTGAGCTTTCTTGGTAAAAGTTGAAGTAGAGTTTAATTTCTACTCTAGCTCTTTTTCTTCTGGAGAAAAAATATGTCTGTGCCCCATCAGCTTTCAAATGAAAATCCATACATGC